TGGGGGCGTGTGTTTGAGCCCTGCTTGTTTTGGGGGGTATGTCTAAGCCCTGAATGCCCCAGATGTCCGGCAGCCAGGCGAGAAACGGATATACCCATGAAAGGAAGGAGCAATTCCTGATCAAAATCACTCAGAGGCATTGATCCTGGTGAAAAGTTGCTTCTCCCTCCCTCCTAACATGGAACCTAGGGTCCCTGAAGGGAGAAAACAGATCTTTCCGATACCCCCCCAAATGCAAAATGGATGTATCTTTGCTTCGGAACCACCTCAAAACGGGGTTCCCGTTTGGCTTCCGCTTTGAAACCACCAAAACAGGGTACCGACTAAAAAAGGACACACCATTTGGCAGGAAAGCTCGCTTGCTTTAAGCTTTTAACTTTTAGTAGTTTCATGGAAAACCCATTAGTTGGCAACAAGCTAAAGTCCTAACATCCCTTGGCAAAATGCACCAAAGAAAGGTACGCCATGGAGGCACTTCTTGTCCCGCCTGGGGCGTCGCTACCCGGTTCGGCATGCGCGGCGGCATCATGTTTTCCGCATGGACCTCGTGGCATGTACTCAGACTGGTTGCCCCTGACACACTTCCAGCCCTAGGCGTCCTTTTCGGGGACATAGATGGATTTCCCTGGTAGATGAGAAAAAACACCAGGAAAACCAGGAATCAATGCTTCCAGCGCTTTCCCTTGATGGATGAAGGGGAAATATCTATATATTAACCTCTCACAAGCTCACAGGGAAATGGCCCCTTTAAAAGGAACATGGTCTTCCAGGAGCCATGTTTATTGGTGGGAGGGTATATCATCTCGATATCTAGGGGTCTCACCATTCAACAGTTGATGGGATTCTCAAAAATGGGAAGCCTCCTTTGATCACCACTTAGAGGGACAAACCGAGGATGTCACTCCGCTAGATTCAGAAGGAAGCCCATGGTTTCCAAACTTCCTGCCAGATTTTAGAGAGTGCCCCTATGTTTAAGGCTTGACCAAGGTGCTTCCACACCGGCCTGGGAAAAAACTCCCAGCATCCTCGAGGCAAGTGCCTCTTGCTCTTGCCCCCTGCAAACAAAATAATAAAAATGATTCCAATGGTGATAGATTCACTTTAAAACCAACAGGGGAAACTAGGCGGCATTCTTAAGAAAATGGGAGTGATTAGATTGGAATGGAGCCCTTGAATCAGGAGCCGTTTTGCAGGCCCGGGAGGACCACCCCAAATTACCCGTCTGATACCTGGGGGAGACAAACGTATTGCCCGGACCCAACTACCGGTTCCCTCAATTCATGCATCATCTTCATTTTGCTTAAGCCCGCTGGAAAAACACCAAGCCCCAAAACAAGACCCCCCCCCCCTCACGCCCTTCGCGACGTCTTTGAGCCCTAGCTGCGCGCCCATCGCTGCACGCGGAGACGCGGCTGCGCAGGCTCAGCCGCGCCGCGATGGGGTCGGCTCCTCGTTCGCCGCGCTCGGCCTCGCCCTCGGAGTTGGCGGGGAGGGCGGCAGCCTAACGGAACACACGCCGGGCAGAGGCATGTGACCTTGAGAAAAAAAAAAAGATGCCCCTGGCAAATGGGCTTTGAAGTCAATCTAAACCAAGGCCATCTGTGGGACCACCTGACTTAGAAAAATGGCCCCATCACGGTTCAAACCCGATCTGAGCAGTTTCCGATTACACCCTGGGATTACACCAACATAATTGGACACGAACGGGGAGGTGGGCTCTAATTAGAACTGATATGTGGAAATGGTCCCGTCAAAAAGAAACGGGACCAAACCAGGACTCCCGAACGTCTGGTTCCCCCCCCCCCCAACCACCTGACAGGGACCAGGTGCCTTTTAAAGGAAATTGGTCCAAACCAGACCCCCCATTGGGAAGGAACCAAACCTAACGTCCCCCCAGGCCCCCCTTGTAAGGGACTGTAAATTAGAATGCGGCGAGGTATTGTAAAAACCACAAGTCATGATAGCACAATGTAAATTTATGGTTGTTGAGGTACCCCTTTCAGGTTGGCTTAAAGGAAAATACTGGCAACCGTGATTTGGAGCTCCCGACGCATACACGCATATTAAACCAAACCGTATTTTTCCGTAGAACGCGGAGTGCTTTTACAAACCGAATCGAGTCCTGATCTAAGGAGTGGGCATACCCCAAAATTGGTGCTTATACACGGGTTATACACCAAAAAACATCCCTGCAAAAGTCCTATAGGTGTGGTACTGTAGATGGACAAAATCCTGCACCACCTAAGAAACTCTGGACTGACGACATGTTGGTACGCCTGATGTTGGTTGGTCAAGTCACCAATGGGGAACTGGGAAGTTTACAAGCTACTGCCGAAATAATTAAATTGGGGTTGTGGGGCAATTGACACGCTATTTCATCATTATCAATAACATTTGTTTTAGCCCCTTCTATTAAGCCACTCCCTCCCTTTTAGGGAAGGACACTGCCCCCAACCTTAACATGAGAGTGCAAAACTATGTGCTCTGGGATAAGTCGCTTGAAAGGGAAACCACCCAAAAGCAATGTATTCGAAGACTGGCATGATCTCAACAATGCCTTCACTTCTAATGTTATATGATTGTTGAAAGCCGCAGGCCTTCTGACTGCATCCCCGAAACCTGAGGAAACCATCGCAGTTTCTGAGCCTTGGGACCTTAGACTCAGGAGCTCGAACCAAAAAACGACAAATCGACCAACAGGGCAAAACCAAACGGTCAGATCCGGTCGATTTGCTTTGGACAAGTGAGTCGTAGAGCCGTCTCTTAGCTGAGGCCTTCACGCCTAACAACCACTACTGTGGATGGACAAAATCCTGCACCACCTAAGAAACCTTGGCTTTTGATGATTCCCTGTAAATACCAACAAATAAGGTTTCCCATGGTTTCTTAGATGGTGTCGGATTCTGTCCATCCACACTATGAAAGCTTCCTCTCCCGTCCCCGAAAGGGATCCGAAGCAGATGGCGATCTGTTTCCCTTCGCAAGTCTATTGATCCTCTGGTCGGGCGGGGCGAAAATTCCTATCGGGTCCCCTATGGGCAAAGTATACTTACCCCTTAAAACTCCAAGCCCTGGGGAAGTTAATATTTTACAGACATATAGCCCATGTTACCCAACAAGTTGAGAAAAAATGTGTTTTTAAGAGGTAAGAATAAGTAACCCATGGCTCCCAACACCTAGAAGGGATCCACAAGAGCACCAAAATCCAGTTGGATCCCCCGAGATCGGTGAGGGTTTCGCGCTGGCTCGCCAGATTGGCACATTACGTGGGGTCTCAAAATGAGCAAAGCCCCTGAAGTGGTGGGTTTCCTCGTTGGTTTCCCTTCAAACCACCAGGAAAAGCGTAGCATCAAACAAGGGGACGGCAGTTGTTGTTGTTGCTTTTTCTTAAAGGGCACCCTGGTGCACCCTGCAAAAGTGTTTGGTGGACACAAACCCGCACCGAAATGATGTCCAAAAGAACCCAAGTAAAAAATCATACAAAGCTCACTAGGTTTCCCCTTTGAAGGTTGCATGTTCCCTGAAACTGCCACTTCTGAAGGTCTAAACAAGTGCAAAGAACTGGAGTGATCCCTGTCAGGTTACCCCATTTGTTTTAAAAATGGTGTGCAAAGGGTAACCAAAGGACAACCACCACAGGGGGGTCCTCGAAAAAATGGCGCACACCCATAGCCCCCCGAAGATCCGCCGATTTTTCCGTGCCGAGTTGCCATGGCTTCACTTCCCGCGCCCGCCGCGCGGAGCTGGGAGTCCGCCGTCGCAGGTTCTTCCCCGAAGGATCGGGAGCGAGAGACGGGATGGGGCTGAGAGGGGCTGCGGGGTCGGCGATGGGATGGCGGTGGGATGCTCACTGCTTCGAGTCTCAGCTCGGCGTTGCTCACCTCCGACTTCCAGCTCCGGATTGGCAAACAAAGTCCGACTCCCCGAAGACTTCCAGTGGATTGGCAAACAAAGTCCGGCTCCCCGAAAACGGCAGAATTAGCCCCTATGAGTCAACCAGGGGGAGGCAAAGCGTGGCACTTTTTGTGAGCCTTTGCGCATAAGAACTGGTTGGCTTCCACTAAAATGGTCCAAACCCTTTCGGAACTCCTTCCGAAAAGTTCCTGGGGCCCAAATGGAGACAGTGTCTCCTGTTCCACCAAATCGGCGATTTCGGGCAACTGGCTTGGAAACGGAATGCCTTAGAGACTCAATGCCAATCAGCTTCCCTCAAGGGTGGCTTGGATTCACGCTTTGGCGGTGTTCCGGGGTGGCTTCACCCCGTTTACCCACGTTTGTATCTCAGCGGTTCACTTCCGAATCCAGGAAAATCCGCAACCAGGAAATGTTCAATCCAGTTGGTGAGTTTGAGGTTCAGATCACCCCTCTTGGTTCCGCTCAAAATGGCTGGAATTGCAAGGGCGCCAACAGACCCTTTGAGCCAGCCACATGCCGCCCCCCCCCCCCCCCCCAGGTTGGCCCGTGCCCCCGGGCTCGCTCTGCACGCTCGGCACGCTCGGCACGGCTCACCTCGGCGGTTAAACCGCTGGCTGCAGAAAACCGCCGGGCTTTTCGTTCTAAACTAGAGGCTTTTCTGGCCCACTTTATGAACAACAATCTTACCTGGCCGTTCGAAGTGTTTCTACATGTATCAGGTGGATTTGAGGTCAAATCGGGGGGACATCCATTCTTTTGGGATCGGTTTTGTTTTGCCTGAAAATGGTTCAAGCCCTCGAGAGCTCCATACCGCAGCATCCCCTGAGATGGCACCGTTGTGCCTTCCCATTCTTTCCGATCCGAATCTTTTCAGGAAACCATCAAAAACCCAGGGGGAACAAAGGGTTGTTGAAAAAAACGATTGACAAGAATGGAATTGGAACCCCCAGAATTGCACGAATTCTTTCTAGGGGTCCCTTTAACAGAGCCATGCTAGGTCCTCCAGTAGAGAGGTTAGAATAAGGCTACCAACTTTTTTTCTGTAGTCTATTTTGGCACGGGAACCCTGTGAGTCTCACATGGCGCGCGCTGGTACGCTCAAAGTCCGCCAAACAAGAAAAACAGGGGAACCCTCCCCAGAAAAGCATGGCTGAAAGGAACTTCCCAGCCAACCCCTAGAACCAAGCAAGATCTTTGTTTTGGGAGTCATGAGCAGATTGGAAGTAACTCAGACACTATATACCTACGGATTCATAGGAAAAATACATCCAACCCGTAAACTTCCCAATGAACAACGCACCTGCGAAAAGAACTCCTGTCAACATCCAGCGACAAATCCGTAGCCTGACTTGAAATCCCTTCGCCCCCCCCCCAACATCAAAGAGATCTCTGCCCTTGCCGTATGTCCAAACACGCGTCATGTTTATTGCAGCAACCTGGAGGAAAAAGAAGCCAAGCAGAACGAAAACGAACAAATGCAACTGAACGACTGCAACAAGCAAACCAAGAGCAAAGAAGAAGGGTCACTGCCCAGTACATCCCTTCCCCTTGCGTACATGTCGAGCACGGGTGAATCCACCTGGTGGACTAGTAGGGTTGTATTTCAAAAACAACCTGAAACATACCCTTTCAAATGGGAGAGCCTCCTTACATGGTCAATCAGGGGTTTAAGAATCAACGGAGTTTCCCTTTTTCAGCAGGAGCCCACTTGGATGTTCAAGCAACCTAGCAAGTAGGTCGTAACCATGGGCGAACTCAGTTACTCAGGTATAACCAGGTGCATGCTGGGTCGGGTGAACATGCTGGTTCTCGGCAGGAAATGAGGAAATGAGCCCTTTTCCACCTTTTTTTGTGGTTTGAATTCAGGTAGTTCCCTAAACTGTTCTTTCCCAGCACCCAAATGGTCATTCCCTACATGGTGTCAGCCACATCCCCGTAACAGGTCTCCTCTTCAGTGCGCATGACCGCGGCGAATGACATCCTTGCTTGTTCCGCTCGCGGCCTTGTGAAGAAATCAAATCCTTGCGGCTGGAGGAGAGCGACCGAGCTCCCGTGCACGACTCCTGACCAACTTACCTCTGCTATAGCCTTTCAGGCGGGGCCTCTCTTCTTAGGCATCGGTGAGCGCGCTCAAACTTGCCCCCACGCATGTCTTCCATGCAACTGGCAATACCGCCCCCTGCACACAAAGCGAATATGAGCTCTTGGAAAAAAAACAGCAAACACGTCAAAAGGTGGACAATCCGACCAAATGATCCAAGCTACGTGCAACTGCTGCAAAAGGGATCCTTTCTTCCCAACAACGCTAGGGCACATGAGTCACTCAAAACCCGGTATTAAGGCGGGGCAGCTATTTCTGGTTGGGATCGTCCCTTACTAACCTTCATCTACCCGGGTTTTGATTGTGACTCACATGAAGCACGGCCAATCAGTCCGCTCAGCTCCTGCCTGAAAATGAAAAGGGCTGGCAATTCACCGTGGCACTGTGGGGAGTGGCGGCAAATCGCGGCTGAACGAAAAGGCCGCTGAGACGACATGCGGTTTTTTTCGGGTTCAGGGACCTAATAAGGTACTTATACACTCCCCAAAAGCCGTCCTCAGGAGGCACGAAGGGACCCGTTGGGTACAATTCTTACACCTGAGCTGAGGAATCCCGAATGGACCTTCATCCTTAGCCCCTTTCACCCTAAATATGAGCTCTTGTTATCATTTGCCCAACTAGATTGCTTCCATTGCCCTCCCTTTGAGAGGAAACTGGTCTAACCCCTGACCAGTCAGTGTTCATGGCAACGTGGATGGGAGGGTAACATGGAACCCCAACGCCCTGCCATTTGTAGACCTCCTTTTTGCTCCTTTTTGGGGGACTGCCGTGTTGACTCGCAAGAAAGTACAATGAAGATGGCTTGAAACCCTTGAACAGGCGTGAGGGGGCCAACCCAAATACGTCAAACAAATCTCAGAGGGATTTAAGGACGTTTCTGGGGGCTTCAGAGTAAACGTACCTGGTGGGCGCTTGGACCTTCAGGAATAAGTCGCTGCGGGGTCATGCGATCTTCAGCTAAACTCTTGGCCGCGCGAATATGCCTCCCCGGAAGCATGGGCGGGCAGGGGCTCAGAAACCTGCATGGACTGGCAATGAGTGACTGAGAATTCTTTCGGGATGGGCCCGGCAAAGTCTTCTTAGGACTCAGGATTGGTTGGACTTTGAACAAATGGCTCATGGGGCGTTAAAAAAAGTCACGCACTTCGATCGCCGCACACAAATGCCCGGCGATTGAGAGATCAAAGCACGCGGAAGTTGGTCTAAGATGTGGACACCCATGAAGCCCACAAATCAGCTTTCCTCCAGTTTGTGGTTTGGAGCCGAATCGGCGCTTTGGTGGTTGAGAAGGGGTTTTCCATTTACAACCCAGGGCTTCAAATCCCAAACCACCAATCCAAAACACCTACTATGGGTTACCTGACCCAAACATGTTGCTTGGCAGTGATGGCATTTACTCTAGCTCTCTGGAAAGCCATGGCTGTAGCCGTGACAGCAGCTGTTAAAAAAAAAGGACAAAAAACTGCAAGGAGAATGGAAGGATGCTGAAATGACTAAGAAGCTCCTCACCACGGAAATATTTGGGGCAATCTGAGGTACTTCGGGATATCCTGCCTACCAAAAAGCTTCTCGCCGAAAATCTGGGCTGCTTTTCTTGGGGCAGCTGGAAGCCCAGTGGCTTGTAAAACCTCAGCGGTCTCCTGGCCCTCCGGTTGAAACGCGCGTGCCCGCCCAAGCATCCACTATACCCTGCACGCAAACTCTGCTGAAGCGCGCGGCCGAAGAAGCTGGGCTTCTCCCACGCGCAGCGTTTCAGTCAAGCTCGCCGTCCGTGAAAGCCTTTTGGCTTTTCAGGCTGGACGCCAGTGGTAAAAGACAAGTGCTGCACGAGCAGCGGAAACGAGCGCCCGAAGTTTGATCATTGGCCGCTTTGCTTTGGGCTCAGCCATGTCTTGTCAAGCAAAGCACTACACATCATGCAGCAAGATCAAGCTCTGGTTGAATTTTACCACAGCGCAGCCTCGCCCGTGCGGGCTGAACATGAAGCTCAAAGCTGTCAGAGTCAGACATCCTGCGGAAGCGACTCGCTCTCTCCCTGCAACCGTCCAAAAGTCATAGGATCCCAGCCCCTCACCTACCCCTTACGCGGTTCCTCCCTTCGTAAGGCCTTTCTCAGGTCGCAACTCAGCAAGGGTCGAAGGGCGGCAGATCCATTGTCCGGAAGAAATCAAGAACCCTTAAAACTCAAAACGGAGTGCCTCAAAATGCCGAGGCCGAGGCCATATTAAAACCACATCTTGTCCCAACACTTTCTACTAGGATCTCAAACATGTCAGGCATTGGATAATTATTGCAAGTACTACCGATAGCACTGCACCCAAAAGACAATATATTGCAAATATACCCGACATTGCAATATTCGCTGGTCCATGCGAGCCCTTAACATAGGACATCTGTGGCGATTGCCTTAGCTCGACGAGTTTTCCAGCCGTCAACTCTAGTGTTCGGTCAGTCTAAAATGGTTTCGACTACCCCAAACCACTACCCCCACCATTTAATGGAATACGCGGCCAGTATATAGCCACCGTTCAAGGGTATCTCAATGTACCCAGGGCGTAGTGGTTTGGGTCAATGGGGGTGGTGGACGCCATCTTGGAATCAGGGAATGGACAGGTACCATTAGACTGGTCCTACACACCCCGGTTTCATTTGGAAGTGACCATTTCCTCACGCAATTCCTCAGGTGGAACCGGAATGCTAGAAGCTTCCTCGGAAGACTTGATGGTGGAAAGTGATCCCTATCACTAAAGACCCCGGAAAAGCGTGTTCCCTCCAAAAGTGATACACCCAAAGGGGTTCATCAGAATTCCGGGGCTCCCATTACTTTGCCAGCTTCAAGGGGGTTTCCCTTGGCTGTCATATATAGCTTTGCCTTGTTGGCCGAAGCTCCGCTGCATCCCCAGCAGCGGCCCGCCAAGCAGAAGCCTCTGCCAAACAAATAACAACATTGAGAGTCATGAACGACGGTTAGAATGCTTTGTTTCCCCAAAAGGGCATGAGGTTTTTGGTGAGGCCCCGGGCTTTTTGCTGGACAAACTCTATCTAGATTCAACAGCATGCCAACCGCGCCTCCCAAAACTTTCTTCCCCTGCCGCCTAGCACCTAACAAGTAACGTGCACGTCCTCCCCGCTTGCAACACAAACCAAAGAACAACATGTTCCTTTGTACCCCTGCGGGCAAGAACCGCTCCGATCACATACAAATATACCAGGGCAAGAGTTGAACAGTTCACGTTTATTTTCACACACACAAATATATACCTGGCAGAAGAAACAAAGCGTTATGCCTTGCTTCGCTGCCCCTGTTCCATCTGTAGAGAGCCCGAAAGCAATGGAAGGCACTACGCAAACAAACAAGATCACGGGTATCATGTTGACCCCTGAGCAATAACTGTTTCTTCTTCAATGTCTTCTTTTTGCGGTCTGGCAAGAAATAAGCCTTGCCCACCGGCCCCATTCCAAAAAACCACTCGGCCCTTTTTCGTCGGGGTTGCTTACCTACTGACCTGCCGCTTGAAGCCTTGTCCACCCTCCCCACCCACCCCCCCCCACCTCCAACCCCCCCCACCCCCCCCCATCTGCCCCATTCTGACCGCGGCGCTGGAGGGTCGCCGCACTGCCCGGCAGTCGACCGCAGCCGCCGCCAGAGCCGGCCCTCGTCCGCTCACGCCAGCGTTGAAGCCTCGGTCCTCGCTGGGGGAGGGAGGGGGATCCGAGGATTCGTTCCTCGGGGCCGTGGGGGGGAGGGAGGAGAGGGGGAGGGGGGGAGGGGGGGGAGGGAGGGAGGGAGGGGGGGGGGAGGGGGGGGAGGGGGGGAGGGGGGGGGAGGGAGCCCAACTAAGGCCGAAAAAGGTCTGAGGATGTTTCTTCCTGCCCGCACTGCCGATCGAGCGGATTTGCCAGAAATAGTTTTCCCAAACTGGCTGTTCAACCACTAAAAGAGTCTGCCCAAAAAGTTCAGAAAGTCCAGAAACTCAGGGAGTGCCTTTGTCACAAACAACAAGCCTAACGCTGCTCAGGCTCAAGAAGGTGCATTAGCAAAACTGATTTGGCAAGCACAGTTGTGACTGATAGCAAGGGGTATGGTCGGTGCAACCCCTTTGCCCCGGTAGCGCTATGTTGGCCCAGTCTTGACTCCATGTTGACCCTCGTTTCTGACCCAATATTGACCCCCTTTCGGCCTTATTTCAGACATGTTGCAATCAGGTGAGGGTGCCATTGCGTTGGCATGATGTTGGCCATGGTTTCGCATTGCTGGAAATTCTAGGGGTTGATTCCCCATTCTTTTCAACCATCGTTCTTTTCAAAAACCGGCTGATTCCCCCGAGTTTTTGATGATTTCCTGGAAAGAAGGATCCCTGGAAAGAATGGGGAAGGTACCCCTAGAGAAATGTTGACATCTGGCACGTGCGCCGTGCAACACAGCACAAAGCACAAGACCGGACATAGCGGTGCGCGTCCGTCGATAACCGGAAACAAATTGAAACCTCATGTTTCAACCACTAAGCTGGTCTGCCCTAAGTCTTGGAAGATGTTGGAAGTTCAGCAACTCGGAAACAAGAACCCCCCCCCCTTCCACACGGAAAGCAGTCTTCCAAAGAGGATGCAAAGCATCAAGCCATTGGCGGGTACGGCCATATCCGTCCAGACGCCCTACCGTTTATTACCAAGGGGCGAGTCGAAAGAGTACCATCGCGAAGAGCCTGGCGCGACGAGCAACTTGCCATCAACCAAAGAGGCAAAATAATGTGGTTGCTAACGGGGCGGCCAATTTACCAAGTGCACTAAGCGCCGCTCGCGCAAGCCTGAGACAGGGTCGTAGATAATCCTGCGTAGTGGGACACTACAAGGGAATCACTATCTGGCACAACTAGGTCCTCCAGTTGAGTGGTTAGAATAAGGGTACCAACTTTTTCTGTAGTCTATTTTAGTAGGGGAACCCTCCCAACCAAAACAAGTTGGTGAAAGGGCACGATCCTGGGGGACCTAGACATTGATTGAGAGTTGATGTTGGAACAAGCCAGTCAGAGCTCTGCAAGCTCTTCTTTCTTTCGGCTGAGAAATCCAATTGTGACATTGAAATCGGCTTGGCGGTTTCAGCAATAAAACCCCAAAGGTGTCAAGACGCAACTGGCTCAACATGCTACCGCTGCAACATGTCCCATTTTGGCTCTAGAAAACGGCCCCTGATGCCCCATGATCGACGGTTCTACTGGCAAAAGCAAGTACTTTCTGCCAGAACATGTGTACATCACAAGCCAACGTGGTCGGCCAAAGGTCTGCAACCGGAGGCCTGTTTCAATGAAGGGTCCTTCATTGGTCCTGTTCTACAGCTCAGTTGTTCAGTGACCCTGAAAAAAAAGGGGAACCCTTTTTGGGGCTTGGACCATTTTTGGTGGGGCAGCCACAAAAAAAGGGAGAAAGAATTGGTGCCACACAACTGAGACAGGGGAATCCAAATAAAAGCAGCCTTTGGGGGGTCCACCAGTCAGGGGCGGATATGTGCACCCATTCGCTGACACAAACTTGAGCCTTGGTTTTGACCTATCGGATCAAGGGTCCTCATGACCCCCATTGTCAGCTATCACGAACATTTAGGTCCTCCAGTTGAGTTGTTTGAATAAGTTGGTACCAACCTTTTTCCGGTAGTCGGTTTTAGTAGGGGAACCCTCCCAACCCAAAAAAGTTGGTGAAAGGGCACGATCCTGGGGGACCTAGCTTTGTTCGCGTGTTGTTCAGCATCTCTTTGCGCGGCATAAGCAGCTCGAGTTTTAAATCTGGCAGTCCCGTCCCTGAGGCTGCGGCGACATGGGATGGGACAAATCATCGAACTCGAAAGATCTTCTAGATTTTCCTCAGGCGACTGGCGACTGTTTCTGTTGTTTCTTCGGACGTCGGACCCCCCAAAAGGAAAAAAACTGTTTTTTTTTTCGCTTGGGTTCCCTCTCAAGCGACAATTGGCATGCCTGCCATATGGGTACGTCTTTTTGTAGGGAGAATTGGCCACAAGGAAAGGGACCCTGAAAAGAAAAGGATCCATGCGGGATTTGCTCAACACCATGCCAGCCATATGGGTACGTCTTTTTGTAGGGAGCCCCTCTTCTGGCTGGTATCTTTCGAAGGGGCATCGATTTCTATGTTTTATGTGGTTGTGTTGTCTTGCGTTGTTCGTTGTCGTTGCTCTCTTTTTTTTTTGGAGGGGGGGGGTTGGTTGGGGTGGGGGTCTAACTTTAGAGACAAATCCACTTACACCCAGCTTGGTCACAGAGCGCACCGGGCAGTCGCCATGACCGGGCAGCGAGGTCATCCTCACCCGCGCAAGGGAAGCAGGCACTTATCCGCCTACCTTCACCCAACCGGACTGTGTAGGAATCCCGCAGGGACGTGGACCCTCATTGCTCGTGTTACCCCGGATCGGCAACTGGATTAAAAAATGATCTGTCTCCAACTGCGGTGTCCTTGGGAACCGACTCTTAGTTTAAACAACTGCTAGGTGAAATTTACATCTATTGAGCAACTGGCATAGGGAAGCTCGCGACAACTAGTGCAGCCTAGCCACTAACCCCCACTCAATGCCAAGAAGCTCTTACCCCCACAAAGACATTTCATGACCTAACCGACCTAACCCTCAAACGTAGTCAAAAAATATCAGTAATGGTAACCAGTACTTAAGTGAAATGACATGTAACCTTTTGAACACAACCCGAAGCCGAAATCTCAAAAGATCTGTTTTGGACAAGCTAAGCTCTAAACTAGACTCAAATCTAAACTAAACTATCTAAACTAAACAATCTAAACTAAACCCTCTAAACCATTCTAAACCATCCTAAACCATTCTAAACCCCTCTACCATCATAAGCGCCTCTAAACTGAAATCTAAAAGTCTAAGGGTTTTCGGTATGGCGCTCGGGGGATCGCCTACCGACTGATCCCACGCCCCAGAGGCCGAGCTGCTACTTGGACGTGGCTTTCTCCCTCAGCTCGCAGCTCAGCAAGCGGCAGTGCTGAAAAACTTCTACGAGTTACCCCCCCAGCCCCTACCGGCCAAAGAAACATTGAACTTATACTCACACACATATCTATTTATACATATCCATATACTGTATACATCTATATATATATATAAACATACATATTGTTTGTATACACTTGGTTTTGATCGGGGCATCTCCTTGCTCGCCCCTACAAATACATGACTCAACCTTGATTTTGTGGTGATAAGGTAGCCATATACACCATTCTTTCCTGGGGGGGGAGTTTCGATTGCGGGGGAGTGAAAACACTCTGAAAACACAACACAAAGGACCAGTAGAAACGTACTGTCAACAACTCGGGCACACGAAAAATAAACCCAAGTCAAATTGGCGCAAAAGCTGATTCTTGACAAAACCAAAAGTAGAACATATCGGAAGCCCTGCTTCATACATTGCTCTCATCATAAAGTCCACGCATACTGCCATGGCCACAAAACAGAATCAGTTGGTACCCATCCTTACAATTACACCCTAGATGCTTTGAAGCAAAGCAGGCACTGGACCTAAAGTAATCTTAGGAACCCCTCCAAACGTTTACTTTTCGACCATGCCCTTAACCTCCAGGAAAAAAGCAAATTGGGATACCCCCCAGCTCCTTGGCTCCCTTCCAACCAGCCAGTTGGCAACATGGCCAATAACCAGGCGGCATCTCTCGAGGTCAAAGCCTTCAGGGCTCCCTACGGTGCCCCTTTGAAGATGGGAAACATACTGTGGACGAAATCCATGTCACACCACCCGAGAAACACTGGAATCATAATTCCCCTGTAAATACCAACAAATCATAGTTTTTCCATGGTTTCTCAGGTGGTGCGAAATGGATTTTGCTTCATCCACTGCAGGGTTTGGCGCTGCAAGCCTTCACATTCGCCTGGCTGGACCAGGCCGGTTGAAAGCATGTCTACGCCACCTGTGTGTCAATTTTTTGGAGGGCATCCCTTGCTTTGTGTGGTTTTGAAGGAAAACCTGAAGGAAAGCCACCAATTTGGGGGGAGGGGGAATCACCTTGCAAAACATATCCTGTAGGGACTCCTTTTTCAAAGCGCTCCTGTTCTGCTCGTCCAACCTTCGCCTGTGCGCTTTGCTTTTCTTTCCCATCGCCCATGCCAGGGTCATCCAAATCCGGCAGGGCTTAAGTTCCGCCGAGCTGCTTTCATTAGGTTGTGTCCTGCGCGGAATGCCCCATCCTTTTCTCAGTTGCCCCTTAGGGACCCAGAAATTCAAGGTCAACCGTTTGGGACCTGTACTAAACATGGACCAAAGATGGGAAACCAAAAAGGTCAAAAGGTCGGCTTTGGACAAGTGAGTTTTGACCCCCCCCCCCCCCCGAAAAAATGCTAATTCCTTCAGTGCGGTGCTTTGCTGTGGATGGATGCGAAATCCTCTTAGGCACCAGCGTTCAGAAACCCTGGGCTTGATGCCCTTGTGAATGCCAATGAACGATAGTTTCAACCATGGTTTCGCAGCGGTGCAGGATTTTGCCCATCCACAGTATGCATGTGTTTTGCCATTTTCACCAGCCGTTCTTCAGGATACATAGGGAAGAGACCAGGCCGGCCATGTTCTTTGCATTACTACGGCTTGGAGGGGGTTGAATTTTTCTACCCCAGCCCAGGCAAACCCCGGAGAAAACGGGGCAGATCCGAATCCAAACCTGTCAGAGCTTGGAGCTAAGGATGGAGTCGTCTCTCACTCGATTTGGGTATGGCTCAAAATTAAAGAGCTGGGGTTACACGGGGTGCCATTTTGGTACCACTTTTTTGAGCCACAGCCATTTGGGCTGAAGCAACCCCACTTGGGCTTGGTCAACGAACATAGGATCTAAATAAGTGAACCCATCCTTTGTTCATGTAAGTCAGGGGCAAAGATGTAACACCCAGTGGATTGGCCAAGCGCAAGCAGCTTCAAACTGGCTTGCCACAAAAACTAATTAGTCTTCCCCAAACAGTGGCTCAAATCCAAGTCCAACCCGGAGAGTGAGTGCTGGCAACCTCTGGCGGTGTGGAAAATCGAAGATGAGGGTCCCAGGGGCTCGAGGGGCCCGACTCAGCCTCAAGGGCCCGCAAGGTTCGGCTTTTGAACGATGGCCAAAATGGGCGAAACCGATAACTCTAAGGGTTGCTTCCCTTAGGTAAGGATGTCCCCCACCTGCACAGATTCCTTCTGGAAAGGAACTGCAAAAGGAAAACCACCAATTCTTTCTGCTAGGGGTCCCTTGAAAAAGACACACCCATCTCGGGAATGTTGTTCAGTATCGGGCCTGCAGGTACCGCTAAAATTTGACCTGTGCCGCCCGCCCCGTGGCTCTTTCTCCGGGTCCTGTCTGAGTCGCAATCAAAACCTGGTACTAAAACGGTCTACCCAGAACCATGTACAGGATTAAGAAGGCGGCCGCAGCTATTTATGGCTGGGATCGTCCCTTGCTAACCTTCATCTACCCGGGTTTTGATTGTGGCTCCTGTGACGTCCGTGACGGCGCCGCCGACGCCGCGGCCTTCGCGGGAGCGCTTGCAGCGCTGGGCCTGCGAGATGCGGAGGCCCTTCTGGATGGGGTAGCGCAAAGAACCTGCCAGCGGAGCAACCGGTTCAACAGGCTACCACTGCAACATGTCCCATTTTGGCTCTAGAAAACGGCCCTGATGCCCGACGGCCCGATGATCGACTGTTCTACTAACAAAAAGCAACGACTTCTGCCAGAAAATGTGTACATCACTTCACCAGCCAACGTGGTCGGCCAAAGGTCTGCAACCGGTTCAGGCCTGCAACCGGTTCAGGCCTGTTTTTGAGGGTCCTTCATTGGGGTTGTTTTACCGGGGAGATCAAAGGGAAAGCAGCCTTGAAAGGTCCACAAGTCCAAAAGCTCCCACAAGCTGGCGCAAGCTGGCGCAAGCTGGCGCACCAGGCTCTCTCTCCCACAATTTTCATTCTAGGTCCTTCAGTAAAGAGGTTACAATACGGGTGCCCGTCTTCTGTCGTCTATTTTAGTCGGGGCTTGCCCTCCCCAAAAAAGGGGGGTAAAAGGGCACCTACCTGGGGGACCTAGTTCCATGGAACCTGACAGGGGGGTCTGTCAGGTTCCATGCTAGTTGGTTGGAGGGTACTTCTTGGCCCCATAATGGTGGTCACCTAACCTAAGACCACCCCTCCTTGACCACCTAGTCACCGGGCCCCAAACCACTAATTGGAAGGAAGCTGACTTGAATCAGCTTGCCCCTAATTGGTTTGGTGGTTTTGACTTTGGGTTCAGTACCTGTCCATTTGGCTTCAAAACGGAACTGGGGGTTAAGATCCCCAAACCACCAATTAAGGGCTACCTAAAAAACGATTGGCTGAGCGGGGGTGCTAGCATACAAAAAAGACATGCTATGCAAGGTGATCCTTAAAATTAGCTGCTATTTCAGGGCCATTTATGTGGCGTGCCAACTAAGTCATCTGGCTGTGGCTCAAAAAAGTGGTACCAAAATGGCACCTTGGTAAATGGAACCAAGGCCTAAAATTGTGTAACCCTAGCTCTTTTATTTTGAGCGATACCCATCTCATAAATGGCGCACCACGTTTCTTGGTCCTGGATTCCTACACTGAGAGATGCCCCCCGCTGTCTGATTCTCCCTTCCCCCTTTCCCACCGTGGACAAAAAAACTTCTGTCCTAGGGGTTGAGTCCCCATTCTTTTCAGCCATCGTTCCTTTCACAAACCAGCCATTTCCACGGTTTTTGATGGTTTTCTAGAAAAAAGGATCCCTGGAAAGAATGAAGTTACCGCTAGATTAGATCTGTACCTTTTCTGAAAAGACAGTTGATTGATCATGAGAACCTGGTACAAACATTGTAACATTGTCCGCCAAGAGCCATGTAAAGAATGAAAGCGGCGGCTATCCGAACCTCTTTCTGGCTGCGACTACCCCTGAACCTTGACTACCCCTGAACCTTGATGTAACCGGCTTTTTTGCGTGTGGCTCAGAATGGGAGTGGGGATCAAGGAATCCCCTTCTTGTAGAGGGATTCATGGGGCATCCTGGAACCCCCTGACCCACCGGAGAAAAACCAAAGTTTGGTTCGTTGAAGCGATTAGCGCATTTGGATTCTTCCAATTGCTTAAGGCCCCTGGAGAAAAGCAGACAAGTCCAGCAGTGATAATGTCCCTCTAAAACCAACAGGGGAAAATACAAACATGTTCATTTCAGCAAATAATTGGATTTATCCGGTGCAAGTGGGTACCTAGCGGCTTCCATCTCGCCCAAACCGCTTGGAGGTTTCTCCCCCCAAACTTGTGCTCAGTTGGTCAAGGGGAGGGGAGTTTAAAAGCTTAGGCTCTTGGAATCTTGACAAAATACGGACCAGGTTTGGGCAGTGTTGACACCGGATTGATCAAACTGGTGGATAAAAAATGGGTGTATCTTTCAAAAGCGCAGTTGATGCCCACCGTATTTAATCAACCAGCAGTTTGTTATTCCTGGGCTCCCGCAAACCAAAAAGGTCGGAAGGTACAGGGTGGAATCAACTGGACCATTGCTTCGATGAACCCACTTAGTAAGTAGCTTCCAACGGTCATAACCGGGGTAAGTGGGGGTGCCCTTCCAAAGCTTATTACCCTACAATCCAATTGCCAAGTGGGTAGAAGAAACATCCAACTGAGCATCAAAGAGTCCCCTTCTAAAACTTCTTACTATCACTGCAAGGACTACAACCCAGTAATTGTTAAGTGGGTTAATGAACCCGGTTGCTTTCTGCTCTCCTGCTAAAAGTTTAACTTTTAGTGGTCTAATGGAAAACCTAGCAGTTGGCAAAAAGTTAAAGTCCTAACATCCAAGCGAAAAGCACCAATTTCAAACATCCACACTGAGCATCCGCCAGACCCCTCAAAGTCCCGCCCCTGTCGAGCCACTGGGGTCGAAACTCACCGCAGGCATCGGCGTGTGGCTCGCCGGCGCTAGGCGCTGGCCCACCGCGCGCCGCGCGGCGCGCGCGGCACGTGCGCCGCGCGCGGACGTGGAAGATTTCCGAGTGCGGGCGAAGCGTGCGGAGCCTGGAGGAACGCGCGGTTTGGCTGGGCCATCGGGGGAAATCAGAGCAACCAGCAGGAAATTCGAGTTACTCCCTTCTCCTTTTGGGTTTGCCAAAACACAAAGAAATATCCAAAAGGGGTATCCACTCCAAAAGCAAAGAAGCCACCATAGTAGCTCCCCTTTAACCATCAAACTCAATTTTAAGCCCGAACAGGTGATGATCAATGCATCCCAAAATTTGGCCAAACTTAGACCCTCTGCAAGACTTTCACTTCTTGCCAGCAAGGGCAAATTAATGAAGCAATACCTAAAAAAAAGAGCTCAAAATGGGCTTCCTCCTTTGGCATGCTGGCAGAAAAATGATGGGAACATCGAGTCGGACCCCTGACAAAGCACGAAGTCCACCGTCCACCCGCCTACAAAGCGGGCACTCGACATTCCGGGCGACGTAGCCAGCGGCGCGGGCGAGGCGGCCAAGGTTGGCGTGGAGATGGGGACGGATTCCGTGAAGATCTGGGAGCTGTGCGGAATACGGGATGGAGCTACTGTGGATGGACGAAAACCATTTTGCAACAAACAATGGTTTCCGATGGTTTCAATCTGGTGCAAAAATTCGTCCGTCCACAGTATGCAAAAGTGGTCAGAAGGGTCTTACTTGGCAGACTACCCTGGGACACAGGCCCCTTGGCCACTTCTGTCTTTACCTTACTCCTACTTGGTGATCACCTTCCTCATGGTGCTGAATTGGAAGGCTCCCTTCTCTGCCTATACAGCGCCACAGGCAAATGGAACCGCTCAAAGTAAGCCAGGACAAATGGTGACGCTACATCAAACCAACACCAACTGAAATAGGATGAGCATGTGATAGAAGCGCTGAGCGTGCAGCGATCACGCAGCCATCAATCTCTATCTATATATATATATATATATTATGTGTTCCCGTCGCCCGTCGTCCCCAGCCCCCCCCCTCCAATGGTATGGGTCTATCCAAGAGGCAGGGGTGGACCATGGCCCTATGGGTTCAGGGGTGTACTGTCCGGGCCAAAGAAACTGGACCATGTGTGTATATATATATACATATGGCTGTGGGTCAAAACCCTGTACCCCTGGTGAACATCAAAATGTGGTACATGGGTGTTCATCCACCCCAATGGAGCCATAGGTTATGACCCATGGCCATATATAACTTAGAAATAAAAAACACCTGCCTGGTCCATTCCCTGGCACGTGACTTCCGGCACGTCCATGTCGATGAGGTCAGCCATTGGCATCACCTCCTTTTTGGGGCCATGACTATGAGCCAATATTGGGTTCACTAGTCGCACTGAGTGGATGGGCAGGGGGAAAAAGTACCCAGGCTTGATATCTTCCACATTTCAATGGGAACCAACCCATTCCAGCTGACGATCAAGTCAACACCTCAAGGAGTGCGACATAAACTTCAAAATCTCCGAATCCCCGCGAAAATGGGCACGCGCCCTACTTTCATCAACCAGGGGTTTACTCATCCTGGGCTAACGTTCCAGGGGTTCACTGCTGGACCCCAAGTCCATCTCCCCACTTCACCTCGACCAATTCCACGGATTGGAGCCCACTCCTTCGCGACCGGCGAGGGCACGGCGCCAGCGAAGCATTTCACCGTGCAGCGCCTTGGGCGGACCTGCCGCAGGCAATCTGTGGATCGCACCACGAAATGAAACCATGGTTGAAACCATAATTTCTTGGTATTTACAAAAGAACCAGTTGGTGTCCTTTTTGTAAAGTTGTGGGGTTACCTTCCATTTCCATTCTTTCCAGGGATCCAGATCTTTCTAGAAAACCTCCGGAAACCCGATCTGGAAACCGGATCCGGTTTTGGAAAGAACGATGGTTGAAAATAATGGGGAATCAACCCCTAGAAAGAAGGATTTCCCCTTGAAGGGTGGTGGTCGAAACGTCACCAGAGGTGAGCTTAGCAGGGGAAACCTCGGGTGCCCTTTGCCCGGGGCCCCAAGGTCCGCCTTTTGGGACCCTTCATGAGTAAATTGGTCGGAACAGGCGCCATGGAACCTGACTCCGGGGGTTCTTGGAAAGACCGTGCTCCTCTAAAATGGACTCTCTGCTGGGCTCCGGGTTTGTGGACAAGAGGCAGCTTCAACTAAAGCTCATGCTTGGCAACAGAAAAGATCTGCAGAAGATCGTTGGGTGGTTTTCTTTGTTCCGAGCCATAGCACGGCCCAGTGGATCCTCATATGGGGTGCACTAAAACAACCTGTCCAAATCCTGATTCACATCTAGCCAACTTTGCAATGTAACATGAGTCTGGGTCAATAATTAAACCACCAGCATGTGGACCGGTTTTAGTCCTTAGTTCCATTTACCAGGGAAAGCAACTTTGAATACCTCTGCTTGACGCAAAACCGCATTTTGTTAAAACCCCTAGACAAAACCGCCATTAAAGGCCACTGACGCCCCGGATTTGCCCATGCCTTCGCTTGCTCGCGGCGGAGCTTGGGCAATGCCAAGCCCAGCAGCAACACAGATGCCCCCGCCTGCTGTGAGACAACTTGGATGTTCAACCTACTTGGTTGGAATTAGGACCCAGCAAAAAATACATTTCTTGTCTGGTTAGTGGAAAACAAAGGAGACCCCAAACAAAGCAAAACAAAAAGGGGAACTAATTCTGGGGACCAGGGACTAACCCTACTCCACAATGGCTGGGCCAACTAGGGTTAGTCCACGGTTATGTCCTAAGTGGTTTGAGCATCCTAGACATTTCAACCATGTTGAGCGATTGGCCAAGCGCACATGCACTTGGAGCCCAAATACTTCACCAAACGAAATAGCAGTATGACAAACAGGGATCCGGATGCATTATACACCTGAGCATTGCAACTTGTAAATGGAGGCGTCCATTTATTTTGGTGGAAAAGGCCATGTTTCAAATGGGCAAAATGTATCTTTTAAGGGAGCCCTGACGAACACTATACCGATACCGCGCCATGCTTCGCAATGTTAGACTTCCAAATGCCGCACCACGTCACGATACAATGCAACATGCTAACTATCCAAGCAACACAGCTTCTTTCCTTCGAACATTCTCCACGACATTGTTTTGCTTGGCTAAGCTAGAATGAATCAGTGAGGTGAGGGGAGCTGGCCAGAATGCGTAACTCAACGGCGCTCCGTCCCAACACTCAAGGCCGCGCCAATACGGCGTGACTTAAAATTCTATCAACCCCAAACCTGTCGGTGGGGTACAGAGGCCCCTGCCCCCCAAGCTTGATGTTGAAGGCTGAGTTGATTGGCCCAAAGTGCAAACTTGTCGAGTCTACCGCTCGGTTTTCCCCGAAGTCCAGCTACTGACGTGGCAATAAGAGGACAAGGGGGCGATCAAGTCCCCAGCAGGTTCGCAAGTCAAACAAATCAGGCTTGGGGAGAAAGGCAGTGTTTTCCAGCAGCAGCTCAAAATCAAGGACACCCCAAAGGCACCCAACTGGCAAAACATCGGCTTACCTTTGGCTTTATATTGCTCAGTTGGCCAAGAGAGCCAGAAAAATCAGGTTAACCTTTCGGGGCCATGACACAAAATGAACTAGGCCTTTGAGTAGAGAGGTTAGAATAAGGGTACCCTTTTTCTGTAGTCTATTTTCGTTCGGGAACCCTCCCCCAAAAAAAAGAAACAGTAAAAGGGCACCCTTTCCTGGGGGACCTACATGAACCAACATGATCAAGTGGTCAATAGGTTGGCTTTGGACCAAGGCTCCTTGAAGCCCCAACCCTTCGGGTAAAAAGTGCACCGGTGTTTCTAGGGGCCAAACCACGTGCGCTGCACATATACCCCTGATTTCCCACTGGGAAATATGGCTTTATACCTTGAATGTATTTCTTATTGATCTTTAAGGCAGGGGCACCTACCCAGAATTACATGGTTGGGACTTGCGAGTGTTTGAACGACACCCGGCAAACAGTCACGCGATTCCCTCTCGAAATCCCGATCCTGCATTTGGGTCTGGAAACTATTGGACAAATCATCCAACCCTTTTCCGGTTTGGAACAAGCTCATTCATGGCATGTAAATACATTGGTGTAGCTTCTTTTGAGCGCGCCATGTCTTTTCGGCAAACGGAAACTCTCTTTTTCCAGGTGGTTAGAATAAAGTGGTACCCATTTTGTTCTGTAGTCTATTTTAGTAGGGGGGTTCCCCTCCTCCCAAAAAGAAAAGGAAACGGGGGCAAAAGGGCGCCCTAGCTGCTGGAGGACCCAGTTTTGGCGGTTTCGGGTTCCGAGTCCTTCCAAAGGCTCTCGCTCTTGGAGCTCTGGAAGCTGGGCCGCACCTGGCTCACCTTGCGCCGAAAGCGCCGAAGGCGCGGAAGGCAGCGAAGAACGGAGGAAACGGCAGGGGGAAAAAGCATTCAGGCATTCAGCCGTCGGACAATTCAGCGAAAATTCGGCCATCGAAAAAGCAT